TGTTACAAAGAAAAAAAGATTACCTAAAACAGAGTGGCTTTTGGCACCAAAGACCCAATGTACTCCCATTTCTGAATGTCTAAGAGCCCGAGACATAAAATTGTAAAGACCTGAAAGGACCCCTAAGAAGACACATTCTATCGATATGTAGTATGAGATCTCCTCTATGTGAAAGCGTTCTGAGGAAGTGATGGGGGAAAACAGAGGTGCAGCTGATGCCCCATACTAGTAGAAAGAACCCAACCTGTAGCCATGCTTTCCATGGGAGAAAACACCCACAAAGGATTTAGAACTTCATTTTCTGGAATCCCTGACATAGATAATGTAAGTCATGTACTCACCTGAAAGAGGTGTTCTTGCTGATGAGACAGATGGGCCTGTTATCTCAGCTGCAGATTCCAGCCTGAGTGTTGTGTGTGACTTTCTCCTCTGGGAAGCTACTGAAGTCTGGCATTGCTCCCTTGACTCAGTGTATTCCCAAGAGCAGAAAGAGTGCTGAAATCAGGCATAGCTCCTCTCAGTCTCTTTGGCCTTGGGCCCCTGGCTGTTACTGTGATGGCTAGAGCCATGAGGTTGCTCAAGGCCCCCTCAGCGTGTGCCTATGGGCAGGGCAGCAGTGGGAACCCTAATATCCCTTATCACCCCGCCGGTAAGGGGCACCTGAGCATAGCATAGTGGAGAGGGATGGTGGAAATCTCACGGGCACCTGCAGTTAGTCCTGGCCATGGCGTGGGTCCACATGCAGCTGGCCATGCCCCTGGGGTTACAGGGCAAACCTGATCTCTTGGTTTAGGAAGGTGGTATTTGCGATCCCTGCTGTGTTACAGCGCACATACCCTACAGTGCAAGGCTCTGAGTGGGCGTGGTTCACAGTCACTCTTATTGACAGATTAGGATTAGGCAGTTAATCCCTTACTCAGTGCAATAGGGTTCCCACAGAGGGGGAGAATGCAGGAATTTCTGACCCATTAAATAGCCAGTTCACACAATAGCTCATTGTTGAGATAACTTCGGGCTCCAGCACCCTGGTGGCTCACTGGGAGATGATGTAAGGTCCTTTCCCAAAGCAGGGTTACTGTGTGTTTTTCACATTATTTGTAGAAGTGGGCTACAATTATGTGAGGACTGTGACACTTTTTTAGTAGCTCCAGTCGCCGGCATCCACACTGGGAGAGTTTCCTGGGAGTCCGCCTCTTCCCTGCAGGAAGACTCCACCTCCTGCAGCTGTGAAGCTTGAGTAGCATATACGAGGGAGTTTTGTTTCTCTCTCTATGATATCTTGGGTCTATGAATATTAGAAAGTTATTCCACCCCCTGCTGATTTTCCCCATAGTCATTCATCTCAAAATGCAGCTACGGAAGAAGTCAGTGCTGAGTGCTTTTTAATTCATCCATCCTGATTTTCAAAGTTAAAACAGTTACTTTTTTTTTTTGGTCTCTTTGTCTGACTCCTCCAGAATTTGTAAACTCTTACTGAATATAATTATGCTAATGGAAAGGTAACTATTGGCATAAGAAGAGGCAACAGGAATCTCTCCTCATTGCTATCTGGATATAATTGGACAGTTGTTATATTGTCAGGGTTTCAACTGCTGCATCATATTTGAGGACGGAACTCACTTAATTTGATAAGAGCAGAGTTTTAGAGACCTAAGATTGCCTTTCTGGGATCAATGCTTCTAAAGCTCTTTTGAGAAAGCCAGAGTGGCACTGAGCTCAGAGCGTCCCCACACTTTCAAGTATGCAAATAAAGTCACTCCCAGGTGGGCCCAACCAACCCAGTGTGTTGGGGGACTTTGAAAAGAGAATTTTTCTCAAATTTGTAAGTATTATAGGTGAAATCTGAAATCCGATAGTGAGTGATTGATTGTGTTATCTAGCATCAAGAAATATTTAAAGTTCCATCTGAGAATCCACATAAAAACTGCTAGAAGAGAAAAAATTATTAGGTTGAATCTAACGAGATCGCTGCTGTTATTTTGTGAGCAAGAATGATGTTTCCTTGAGATTATTTGTGATTAAAAAATGGAAGGAAGACTAAAGAGATATATGTATTTCAATGGGAAATTACTCATTATGTTGTTTCAGTTGTCAAAAATTGCGCATTGTTTATTGTCTTTGAATTACCTCAAAACTCTTGGATTATAGGTAACTGGAATGCACATGTATCCTTTAGCCTTAGCTATATTGAGATCTCCCGTTCCCAGTTGAAAACTCACTTCTGCAGTTCATCTCAGTGTTCCTTTAATAATACAAAGCCGAGGCTTGACTTTTCCTTTGAAACGGTTGTTAAGATGTGGAGTTTTCATAATGAACGAGGGAAAAATGATATGTGTGTGCAGGTGTGTGGCCAGAAGTCAACCTCAGGTGTCATCCCTCAGAAGCCTCCCACGTTGCTTTATGGGGCTGAATTTCTCCTGGAAACTGAGGTTCACTAGCTAGAGCCTCTGGAATCTCTGTTTCTACCTCCGCAGAGCTGGGAGGATAAGCATGCACTACTGACTGTACCTAGTTTTTTTAGGTGTGTATGTGGCCTTGAACTCATGCCCTCATGCTTACATGACAGACACTTGAGCTATCTGCCCAGCCCAAATTGTATTTATTTTTTAAACTTTTCTTTTCTTTTTGAGGTAGGATGCTGTGTGTTCCCGGCTGGCCCTGAACTCACCGGATAGCTAAAGACGACACTGAACTAATTTTTCTCATTTCTCTGCCTCCAACTCCTGAGTGTCAGCCGTATAGACATGTGCAACCACACCAGTTTTACAAAGTGCTAGGGACTGAATCCAGGACTTTGTGCACGCCAGGCAACTACTTTACCAACTGAGGAATATCCTAAGCCATCCTTGTCCATTTTACATTTGTGTCAGATTCCCATTTTACCTATTCTGAAGCTCACATTTTGATAGATGGAATAAATAAGTTTTAGAATTGTTGTAGAATAGTTCAGAATTTACTTTGCGATATTATACTCTTTTGGGCCATTTCCATTTTGCATGATTGCTATATGCCTATTTACTGTCCAGATGAATATATAGAATTATAGAATTGAAACTTTCTTCCTCATTAAAGCATTCACAGGACCCAAAGGAGCTACTGTGAGGCTTTCCAGCTGTTTTAGAAGGATAATTGGGCCAATCTTATCTTTCTCTATTTTGTCCAGAACAGGCTCAACAAGGAGCCTAGATATTTTCATTCCTAGGGCAAAGAGAGAAGGCAGCTACTGGGCAAGAATACGTAATTACTTGTGTGGTAGTAAATTCTGGGGAAGAATACATACGGATCGTGTAGCAGGCCACTTCTGATAACTTCTCCCCTGTACTGTAATCTCCAGAAATTCATTTTATTTCCATTTCACAGGTGACGAGAAAGGGGTTTTCAAATAATTTGCTTCTAGAAGTAAATTAGCCATCGGCAATTGACCAAATCCCCGGCTCTGTGCGCTTCTCTCCACTCCACACGGAGCTCTAGCCCCTATCAGACTACTCTTGTGGGAGCAAACCCTGTCCCAGTTCTCTCTTTTATCTTTTCCCAAGGCACCAGGCAATTCATCATGAAATAAAAAGTGGATCTTTTTGTCTATACTAAATCCCAGCGGGGGGGGGGCGGCTGAAGAGCAACAGAATGGAAATAACTACTAGTTCCTTTACTCAGTTCAGCTCTTGGGAGTCCCTCGCCTGCCTTAAACCTGGAATGGCTAGCTGCTTGACTAAAACCAGAAAGGTTTAGCAAATGTTCCCAAATACAAGAGCTTGAAACTTACGTGATGGCAGGGATAATGCCCAGAATGTCCACAGGCAGTTTGCCTGGGGCTATAAAGGACTTGTGAGATCTAGAAAAATGAAAGGTGGAGATTTGGTAGCTTTAACAGAAACCCTTATACTGTTTTTATAGATGAGGAAGATAACAAAAGCTCTTCAGGTTAAAAAAAAACAAAGCAGGGGCTGGGGGAATGGCTCAGAGGTTAAGAACATTTTCCGCACTTGCAGAGGACCTAAGTTCGATTCCCAGCACCCATATGGCAGCACACAACTGCCTCTAATTCCAGTTCCAAGAGATCCTAGGCCTCTGGCCTCCCAGGGTACTGCATTCATGTGCACACACACCCACGCATAATTAAAAATAATACAAGTAAATTTTTAAAGCATAAAACGAGAAGTATAAATGCACTAGTTAACTGATTCTTAGTAAAGGCAATTCTCGGGGCTGGGGAGATGGCTACGTGGGTAAAGCACTTGGTGATCCACTGCAAGGCCCAGAGTTTGAATCCCCCAAATCTTACATAAATACCAGATGGGTGTAGCGACCTGCCTATAATTCCAGCCTCAGAAGATGAAGGAAGGGGATTCCCAGAGTAAGCTGGCAGGCAAGGCTAGTCAAGTTTGTGATCTCTGGTTTTGGGTGAGACTATAGTTCAATGCATAAGATGAATGAGTGAGGATGATTCCAGATAACAACCTTGAACATCCCGGCACACACACACACACACACACACACACACACACACACACACGGAGGGGATTTGTTCTTAAAATGAGACACAGGAAAACTACAGATAACACCTGTTTAGAAGAACATAATCCCATGCCAAGTGTGTATCTGTTTAACTTCAAAGGGCTCAAATAAATAAAAACTCAGTGACACCCGGACCATCTGAGGTGAGTGAACAAGTACTGTGACTAGTTACTGCTTTGTTCATGGAACCAGGGCAGAAAGAAGGACCAGAGCAGCTGCAGAGATGAAAAACCCACAAGTGTCAGGGTACACACACACACACACACACACACACACACACACACACTGGTTGAGTTCTGAACATGGCCATTTCCCTCATTAGGAAATGTCCAAAGAGGGTCTCTGAAGAAGGTCATTTGCAGAAAGTACAGAAGGGATACATTAGGAATCACGCTTTGAAGGAAAAGAGTCTTCTGAGGTTCAGCGCAGCATCTTTCACCTGGAAGTGTTAATTTTGTGAAAACCAAGAAACCAACATCAATTCCTTTAGCTAGAAAACTTTTTTACTTTCAGAATCTTGTGTCAACATTTGCAAAGTAACTATGATACAGAAGTAGCCTTTACAATGACGTCCAGGAATCATTTTGTTTGGTTACGCAGCCTTTGCAATTAAACTGAAACAGGTTTGTGTCTACTGTAGGGACTCTCCCTTACTGTAACCATGTCAAATGAGCTGCTTTTGTACTCAACAGACATTTTATACTCTCATCTAATACTTGGCAACCAAATACGTAGTTAAGAGCTATTTTCTAGACGTTGGCATATATTTAAAAATGCGTTAACTCAAAAGGCAAAAAAACTACTCAAATTTCATGAACTTAGTACCTACAAAAACGAATTTTGAAATTAGAAAGCCAAAGGCTGAAATATTCGCTATATTGGTATTTTGTTTGTGCTTTTTAGCAATGTACAAATTATGTCCTTAGTTCTGTAGAGCCTTAAACACCAAAGTACAACTTACAAGCTGTTTGGTTACCTTTAATACAGTGGCTCCGGACCCTAGGATAGCTGCGTTCCTGAATTTGCCAAGCACCTGGTTAACACTATTCACACTGTTGCCCCGATGATGTTTCTTCTCCAGTTTATGTGCTCAGCAAACTCCCATTTATTCTTCAAAGCTAACTCAAAAGGCACTTCATTTTTAATGCTTTTCTGTTTCCAGGAAGGCTGTCTCCCTGTTTCCATGGCAACTTCGCACCTCCGTTTAATTACACATAAATTATCTAGGCCTCACAAATAAGTGTTTGCTTTTTATCTTTAACACCTAAGACGGACCTTACATTTCCTCAAATGAAGTTTGGTGAAAAACACAAATGAGCACCAATACATTGTCATCAAAAAGCTTAGGGTTAATACAGAAGCAATGTAAGGACTTTCAGTATTCAAACAAACAACAGCTGCCTGCATTTGTCACTACGGGAGCTGAATAGCAAGAGAACAAAGCTGTTAAGTCTAGGACTAGAAAGAGAAAAGTGAGGCTCTGAGGGATAAAACAGGTCACTCCAAAAGATGCAGTCGATGAATGGTAGAAGGGGATATTTAACTCTCCACACTTCAAACACAAAGGCTAGTTCTCTTTATGCACATATACCGTCACATGGCACCCAAGGTTCCCATAGCCTGAGTTTATTTTGTATTTGTCCTTTATATTTCACAGTTTACTCCAATAAGCATAACATGCTCTTCTATCCCTAGCTTGCCTGCCATGGTTCCTAAGACTTTCTGTCTCTGCTCAAAGCATAGAGCAATTGTAGCTGTTGTGGAACTTTCCATCATTCTACATCTGGATTTAATCTCTGCCTTCTCTGTAGTCACCTCTGACTACTTAACAGTGGCTAGAGACAGACTTGGCACTAATCAAACAAGGCAGGATTATGGATGAGTCAAGGTTAGTCCGGTACAGTAAGCAGGGCAGTGTTCCAGAAAGTGAGCAATTGTACTTCAAAAACGAAAGAGAAGGCTGGGGAGATGGCTCAGCAGTTAAAGTGCTTGCCATGCAAGCGAGAGGCCCTGCGTTCAGGTCCCCAGAGCCAAACTGGGTGGGCATGAGGATCTGCCTACAATCTCAGCCTCAGAAGCAGAGATCGGGGATCCTAGCAAGCTGGCTTGTAAGAAGACTAACAGCATCTATAAGCTCTAGCTTTGACTGAAAGACCCTGCCTCAAAGAATCAGGTAGAAGAGAATGGAGGACAATTCTTGATGTTAACCTTGGGTTTCCACACACACGTGCCCACACACATATAAGCATGCATGCGCACACTTGCACATACCATACACGCGCGCACGCGCACGCACACACACACACACACAAGAAAACATTACAAATGAAAGAGAAGGTCTATCAGCTCTGGTTGGCGCATACACTGCTTGATGCTCTCCTTTCGAGCATAGGCCAGGACACGGGTGTCCTCCTGAAAGAAGCGGTGTCCCTCGTCAGTGAGCTTCCAGAGAAAAGAGCGAGGTTTTCCATCCCCGTCATCCTCAAGGGGGACTGGCACCTTTTCAAAGCAGGTCAGGGAGCAGAGATTGTGGCGAATGGTGTTTTTCCAGCCCTCTGGTGCTGTCCGGAAGTAGGGGAAATGTTGTCGAGTAAAATTGTAGATCTGCTGCACATTGAGGCCGCAGGAAGGGCTGCTTTTTAATGCTAGAGCAACTAGATGGCTGTAGTTGAGAGGAGGGCGTGGCCAGGATTGCCTCTCAGGGTACAGCGTGTGGGGCTTCTTGTTGTATTTGTTCGAGGATGTGCATTCCTGTTCCTCAGTCTCCTCCTCTATGATGTCAGGGTCGTTGGAGACCGTGGACAGCTTTGGTTGCTGACATTGCTCGGTGTGGAGAAAAGGCAAGGGCTGCATCACTCTCTGAGTCGCTAAGCAGCCAGACTCATCAGTCTTGGGGCCTGGTGCACTTGGCAGGACTTTATGACTGGGATTTGGAGCCTCTTTGCTGTTGGCGGGGCACACAAGGTTGGGGTTCACCCACATCCACAAGCTGGGTTCAGTGGGAGGACCATCATCATCAGTACTGGGCTTCCTCTCCTGAGGCTGTGCTGGTGGTTTTAGCAGTTGAATTTTGTATTTGGCAAGACTCTGCTCAGCCAAAGAGCACTGATCTGTGGTACAAGGCAGGAAAAATTCATTTCCCATGTCCCACTCCAGCATCCCGGGGACTTGGCCATGGAGGCTGTACCAGAAGTCCCGATCTTTTAGCTTTACATCCATATTTACTAGAGAGCTAGATGAAGAAAAACTTTCAAACTGATAAAAAGTCTCTCTGGCACTTTGTAAAGCTTTTTTTGGTAGGGCACTATTTCACGCAAGATGTCTCCGCTATAGTGCAATCTATCAGTAGGGGCCTGCTGGAAGTGCTCGCACGAGGACACTGATGCTTCACTGACCAGAAGTCTGGCTCAGAGAAGCCTCAGCTTTCTGGAACACAGCTGAAAACAGTAACTGAGAAGAAGATCATTTGAGCAGGAAAAACTGCTTGCTGAGTTTTCCAAGCATTTTCTCGCTGTTGATCACAAAAGGTGTCTTGATAGCTCTGTAAGGTAACATGGTGCATATCATTAGCCCTATGTCACAGATATGGGAACTGACATTTACAGAATATTTGGAACTGTATACCTAAGTAAATATAGGACAGCTGGATCTATAGCCCTTTCCTAGTCTTTCACAATACCCATGGCCTGCTGATCTCATTCAATGTACTATATAAAGTAGGCACAAAACTGAGTTGTAGAATATAATTGTACCTATGAGAAGACTCACACTCATGCTATTTTCAGTCCTCTTCTGAGAATCAGCTGGCTTCTACTTCTCCAGCTTGTCTTCCAGGCTATGGCTTCTAAGCTATACTTTAAATACTGTACCATCAAAGGTTTGCTATATCATGTGAAAACTTACCTTTCATGTAGGTTCGTGTTAAGGAAATTTTCAAGAAGAAAAAAACAGGAAGATGCCATTTAGCCGGTCTCAAAAAATCTATAAAGTATATGATTTCACTAAAACCGTTATATAGGATTATATCACAAAGGTTCCAACAAATGACCACGGCAACTGCTAAAGGGCACTAATTCCCTATGCTTTCCTATTTTTTGCTACTAATTTGCTCAAAAATATTGTTCATACAAGCATCTAGAATGACTTTTCTTTTTTGTTTGTTTTTTTGAGACAGGGTTTCTCTGTGGAGTAAAAACTTGTAAGAGTAAATCACATGCTCTGGAAGCCAGCTTCACCATTATCTAGCTGTGTGATTTACTCACTATACTAATCTCTATTGTTTTTGTATCACCACATAGAATCTTACAACATAGTTATCTTTTTAGCATCATTGCCTCATAAATTCATGTATCAGAAATACTAACCTGCTAGGATTTTCATCATATCTTTTTCCTATGTCCTTTTGATCAAGAACTTCTGCATAGAATGATGCCCTATGCCCAAGTACCTTGGTTTACCTAATACCTTCTCATCTTTTAAATTTTATTGTGTGTGTGTGAGAGAGAGGGGGGGGGGAGGAGGAGGAGGACATTCATGCCACTGTGCCTGGAGAGGTCAGAGGATCTATCTCAAGTCATGGAGTTTGCACAGAAAGCACCTTATCCACTGAATTGTTTTGCTGGACCTCTACTCATCTTTTAAGATGGAAGAAATGTTGTTTTCACCTCCATGTAAATGGATCCCTTTCACGGTGAGGCACTGGCCTGGAGAAAGCATGGGACAGAAACTGAAATACTTAGATTGTGCCAATTCCAGACATCCTGGCAACATTTGAGTTTTCAGGGGTCCATTATTCTTTAAAGGCAGCTCTACTATTATAGAATGTCTCTTTCATCTTTAAGAACAGAGCCCAATTCTTAGAGTGTTTAATAAAACCAGTTCATTACTGTGTATTCTCGTGCATGCATGCACAGGTGTGTGTGTGTGTGTGTGTGTGTGTGTGTGTGTGTGTGTGAGAGAGAGAGAGAGAGAGAGAGAGAGAGAGAGAGAGAGAGAGAGAGCTGGAGAGGGCCAGAGAGACAAGAGCGCACATGTGCACATGCTAGAGCATGGGAATGGAGGTCCGAGGACAATTTGCAGGAGTTGGTTCTCTCCTTCACTCGAACTCAGGTCACCAGGCTTGGCAGCAAGTGGGACATCTCATTAACCTGTTTCTGCCACCACACACAGCTCCTTTACTATTCTAAAGCATCCCTCTGCCCTGATAGTGCCGCTCACCCAAAAGACCGGTAAAGAAGATAGCTGATGTTTTAGGTCATGAAACAAAAATCCAAGTAAATCCTTTTGCTGCTATGATTCTCCCGAATGGTTTCCATAATGTCAGAGGTAGCATTAAAAGAATGGAAAACCACCTTCAAGGGGCTTCCAAAACTAAATTTTATCTTTTGACTACACATATTGTCATTAATTGAAACTATTTTAGTTAGTAAAAGACTGAGTTTATTATGATATATTCAAAACTTGTGAAAAGAACAAATACTTCAGGGCATTTAAGATTTGTTACTTTTATATAGCAAAATGCATGAATATTTATTTTAAGCATATGCAAATATAGATATATACTTGTTTCTATCAGTGGCCAAGCAGGAAAGAACCTAGGAAAAGCAATAAGTTAATCATAAATTCTTTCAGAATAAACAAGCACACATCAGTGGCTGCTATGTATGAATATACAGATTGGGTAAAGTTCAAGTTCAAGAGTGCCCAAGAACAGAACATGAAAGTCTGTCCAGTCTTTGTTTTCAGAACCAGGTGCCCAAGTTCTGGGGCTGTGTCATTCGGCAGGAGGCGCCTCTCTCTGATCTGCACAGAAATCACACACTTGCAGAGAGGGTCTCTTGTTTCTAATTCACACATAACTAAGAACTTGTAAGAATGATAAACACTCATGGCTACACATAATAACCAGGTAGAAGAAATCCAATAGATGAAAACATATTTTAAAGAAGGGAATAATCAAAAAAGATTAAATCCCTTAACCACAAATTTATGCAAATTATAATAAAATGCAAATAATGAATATATTAATCTGAATAATGCTAAAAGACTGGGTACATAGTAAGAGGTCAGGGTAATGGGGATGACAAAACATGCATAAATTAAAGAATGCTTCAGCTTTTGATAAAAATGAGTTATAAAGAGGCAGTTCTAGTCGGGCGGTGGTGGCGCACGCCTTTAATCCCAGCACTCGGGAGGCAGAGCCAGGCGGATCTCTGTGAGTTCGAGGCCAGCCTGGGCTACCAAGTGAGTTCCAGGAAAGGCACAAAACTACACAGAGAAACCCTGTCTCAAAAAAACAAAACAAAACAAAACAAAACAAAAAAAGAGGCAGTTCTAAGACATAACAAATGAAATGCTGTTATGAAAAGGTTCCCAACCCACCACACACAGTTCAATATCTATGAGCCTGGAAAATCAGTTTTATTCTTTTACCTTGGCAAGTCTGAGATGTGTTTTCTAGGTAGTTGGGTAAAGTTAATGAAATTCAGATGTAGTAAAATCCTGAAAAGACATAAAAATAAAACAAGTATAACATTAAACGAAGGAGGAAAAGTACAAGGGCAGGAATAAAGAACAGTAAGCTTTAACGCCTCTGTCCTTGTACCTTGTAATAGGCTTAAAGGGAAATACATGATGTATTTTTTAATTGTTGTATTTGTGTAGACTTAATATGCTACTCAAGCGGTTTAACTTGTTTCCAAAAAAGCCACATTAAATTTGTAATTATATTTTATAGATTTTAGGATATTCAGTTCATCAAATTGGTAACCAATGTTTAGGTGGCCAAGAAAAAGTGGTTAGGTTTAAACATCTGGTTTATGAGCTACTTGAATTTAATAAAGTTGAGCAGTAAGCAAAACACAAAGAGTAACGAGTTGCCCTCAGTGTACACAAGCCACTGGACACTAAAGAGCACGTACAAAAATTTATTCTTTTCAATAGTTTCTCTTTCTAGCAATCAGATGGAAGTTCATACCCATGTGCCAAAATTGACAGTGTCAGGGGCTGCCGTGAGATCGCTCAGTTGGTGAAGACACTAGCCATTGTGTTCAATGACGGGGGTCTGGCCCCTGACATTCACATCATGGAAGGAGAGGATTGACTCCACAAAGCTGTCCTATGACCTCCACATATACATGTGCTCTGAATACCCCCCTCCCACACAAATAAATAAATAAATAATAAATAAATAAATAAATAAATAAATAAATAAATGCAAGAAAAAGCACAGCAGAATTCCATTTTGAGCACACTCTAGGTATGTTTGAAACCATATACGAACTATAGTAGGCATTGAGAAGAAATTATTGTCATTTTACTCATCAACTTATCTCTGGCATGCCATACTAAGTTTCCTCATCTATGAAACAAGCATAATAAGAAACTTGGCCTGCCGGGTGGTGGTGGCGCACACCTTTATCCCAGCATTGGGGAAGCAAAAGCAGGCAGATCGCTGTGAGTTCGAGGCCAGCCTGGTCTACAGAACAAGTTCAGCACAGCCAGGGCTGCAAAGAGAGACTCAGTCTTGAAAAAAACAAAAACAGAAACAAAACAAAAAAAAGGAAGAAACTTAACCTAATTAGCCACTGATATCAAATGAAATAATGTGAATTAATTAATTTATAGTGTATATCAAAGCCTAATTTTAATGTTTGACACATGCCATTCCATAAATATAAGATCTTATTTATGTTATTATTTTGATATATGGATTCTTTAAAAATATTTTAAAATTTATTTTATTATTTCTCTCTCTCTCTCTCTCTCTCTCTCTCTCTCTCTCTCTCTCTCTCTCTCTCTCTTTCTCTCTCTGTGTGTGTGTGCATGTAAGTGCACATGTGTAGGTGCCTGTGAGGCTGGAAGAGGCTGTTGGAACCTCTGGAACTGTAGTAGCAGGTGGCTGTGACCTCTCTCTGTGCATGCTGGGGACTGAATCTGGGTCCTCTGAAAGAGCAGCGTGTGTTTTCAACCACAGAGCCATCTCTCCAGCCAGAAATAGAGGCTCCTAATCATGAATGTTTCATACACAAATCATACTGGAAGATAAGGAGGACTGATTGTAACGACTATATGAGGAAATCTTGATATCCTTTGAGAACTGATCTTAATGTTTAACTTTGAAGGTTCTTTGAACTCGGCATTATGAGTTCAAAAGTCTCAGACACAAATTTTGATTTATTTTCTTCCAACACTTTGAAAGTCCTGAAATAATGTCCTAGTTTATTTGTAATACCTTTTGGTTATAAGACAAGCTGAAGGCTAATACCTCCTTCATCTTTTGCTGATTCTTTTCCAAAGGCATTACCTCACCTTCCTGGATAAGCAAAGGAGATTCTATGAAACAGAACGAAATTGAATCAAGTGAAAAGCTTGTCTAGATGGCTATCACCAGGGCAAAGTTCACACAATCCAGTGCAAGAGTTTGTTTTAGAATAGGCACTAAATGACTTGTAAAAATATAGAGAGTATATAGAGCAGTGTCAGGCTCTTAGGTCTAGTACATATTTCACAGCACATCATCTGCTTTTTGTCGTTCTCAACAGGACAATTCACAACAGCACGCATATGTTAAATGTTACATATATAGTAGCCAGTTCAATTTAGCAGAGTGATTTCACATATTTTGGTAAGCCCTTCCTGTTTGCTTCAAACATATAAATAATAAAATTACACAGACAAAGACGTACATCACACAAGACAATAAATCACAAGTATAAGGAAAAAAAAACCCTCATTACATCAGAAACTTTACAAAACGGATGAGTAGAACTGAAGTCATTGGCTTACTGATCTTTTGAACACCAAGCAGGAAGAAATCCAGAGTATGGCAGCAATTCAGAACCTTCAGCTTCACATCTAGTAGTGGACTTGAAAGCTGGAGTGCCAGTAGGGAGCAACCAAAACTATTTTAGAAAGAAATGGGGTATGTGTTAGACATTGGTCACTGGGACAGAACACATGTGCAGAACAACTTGGAGAAAGACTTATTTTGGCCCCAACAACCTTCAAAACAAATCTTTGTACCTGAGCAGCTGAACTCTGGGGATACTTGCACAGGTGTGCCCTATGCTACCAATTCTCTCCTCAAAACAGTATTTCCAGTGAACTAAAAAAACATCCTTTGCATTTTTGACATGGAAATGGGTGGGGTCTGGCCAATTTCTCAGATTCTCTCAAGACATCTTTCCTATTGCCATGATGCAAAGTACTTAAGTTTATTTTTTTTTTAATTTTTTTTTTTTGAGACAAGGTTTCTCTGTGTAGCTTTGGTGGCTGTCCTGGAACTGTCTCTGTAGACCAGGCTGGCCTTAAACTCACAGAGATCCACCTGCCTCTGCCTCCCTATTGCCGGGATTAAAGGCATGTGTCATCACTGCCTGGCCCTTAAATTCATTTTAATGGCCCTAATCCTTAAAGCAGCCACAATTTCCTTAGTGTTAATAGGCTTCTCTTTTCTAGGCAAATAGCAAGTTTGTCCAACTTTTTCAAAGCTCAATGCTGGGATGCCATAAAATTTCCTCTACCACATTAGTCCATTGCCTTTTAACCCAGTCTTCCACAAAGTCTTAGGGTGTAAGATAAAATGCACATAACTTCTTTGCCAGACTGAATGCCCTCTAGTCTAGTTCCCAATACAGTGCTTACTGCTACCGAAAGCCTCATAAACAGTCTTCACTGACTATTTATATAAGCACCCTGATCTCAGAAACTACTTCTGTTAGTGTTTTACATTTTCACTAGCTCATATCACCAACTTATAAAAGTTCCTCTCAAAAACTGATTCCAAAAGTCAGGAAGGAGAGAAGAGGGTGATTGAGGGGAACACCACTGACTGTCTGACAGGAACAGAGTGTGAGAACCTGAGCCTGGACTCCACTGCCTTTCTTCCTTCTCCCACCGTATTCTGGTTTTTTTTTTTTTTTTTTTTTTTTTTTTTTTTTTGCAAGCCTATGTGATGGGATGGTACCACCTAAAAGATGAAGCCCCCATACTTAGTATTTTCTGGAAATGCTTTCATGGAATACCAAGCATACATTACTAGTCTCTTAGATGCTTCTGAGTCCAATAAAGTTAACAACCAAGATTAATAATCACAAGGTGCATAAATTAATGAGTAAAGGTATATAAGAATAGAAAAATCAAGTTTCAATTAAAATTAGACTGAAAACACATCACAAAATACACAAAATTTGTTAATAAGAAAACCTAACAACTATATAATGTATACATTCCCCAAACCATGATACTATAAAGCCATCTACTTAGGATATTTGAAAACTGGATATATTAAAATATGCATAAAGAAAGGAACACATATATATGTATAAATGAGAAGGAAGTCATTAAAAATGTGAGAAATGCCTCAGTGAGATGGTTCAATGGGCAAGGTACCTGATGCTGAGTCTGATGACCCAAGTTTAATTCCCAAGACCCATTGGAGTTATCTCCCCTGACCTACACAAGCTTTGTGCCACCATTGACCTAGCATATCTTGTGGGCAGGATACCATTGTAGATCAAAGGGTTTGTGGCTGGTTTGGTGTTTACATTTCTCGTTTGGTAGCCCTCAGAGTACCCTCTTGCACCAAAGATGATGGAACACAGGGATGAAGGCTCCATGTAGACACACCAGCTTGACTTCTCCGTGTTCAATGAATTGTGTGGGTGTCGTCTTCAGCAATGTGGGCTTGCTATCAGTTTGTGGAGAGCAACTTATTGTCTTGGCAAGCTTCATTTGGTGACAAGAGATGGTCAGTTGCGACTCTATCTCCCCCATTATTTGTCTATTTCATTTAGATCACTTTAATATACGTATATATTTTAGGAAGCATCTACTGCATTAGGTTTCCACACAAGGGCCCTTAATTTTAGTTGTCTCTTCTCATATTCTCTCCCTCATCTTCCTCTCTGCTTCCTCTTCCCACTTGATCCCATTCCAGTCCACCCCCATCCATTCATAACTATCCCATTTGCCTTTCTTAATGAGATCCATCTAATCCCTCTAGTCTCTTACTTGATACATACCTCTGTGGTTCTACAGATTGCAGCATGATTTTCATTGACTTAACAGTTAATATTTGCATGTAAGTGAATACATACCATATTTCTTTTTCTGGGTCTGGGATCCTCACTCAGGATGATTTTTCTGTAGTTCCACCCATTTACCTGTTAATTTTATGATGTAATTTTCTTAAAGGCTGAGTAAAACTCGTTGTGTAAATAAACCACATTTTCTTTATCCATTCTTCTGTTGAGGGACATCTAGGTTGTTTCCAATTTCTCCCTATTATGAATAGAGCAGTAATGAACATGGTTGAACAAGTGTCTTTGTGGTAGGATGACGTCTCTTCTGGGTATATGCCCAAGAGTAATATAGCTGGATTTTGAGGTAGATCAATTCACACCTTCCTGAGGAACCACCACCCTGATTTCCTGTACAAGTTTGCACACCCACCAACAATGGAGGAGTGTTCTTATTCCACATACTTGTCAGGTCTTAAGAGCTTTGACTTGTTTTGTTGATATTAGCCATTCTAAAGGGTATATGATGAAATCTCAAAGTAGTTTTGATTTGTATTTCCCTGATAACTAAGCATGTTGAACATTTATTTGTTTCTCAGCCACTTGAGTTTCTTCTTTTGAGAATTGTGTTTAGATCTATACCACATTTTTAAACTGGGTCATTCGTTTTCTGGATATCTAGTTTTTTGGGTTCTTTATAAATTTAGATACTGGCCCTCTATCAAATGTGTAGTTGGTAAAAATCCTTTCCCATTCTGTAGGCTGCCACTTTGTCTGACTGATGGTGTCTTTGGCTGTGCAGAAGCTTTTCAGCTCCATGAGGTCCCTTTTATTAGTTGTTGATCTTAGTATTTGTTTGTGCTAATGGTGGTCTGTTCAGGATGTTGTCTCCTGTGCCAATGAGTTCAAGGCTATTCCCCACTTTCTGTTCTATCAGGTTCAGTGTAACTTGAGGTCTTTGTTGAGGTCTTTGATCCCTTTGGAGTTGAGTTTTGTGCAGGGTGATAAGTTTCGATGTTTTTGCATTATTCTACATTCAACTATCCAGTTTGACCAGCACCAAAGACAAAGCATGTTAAAGATGCTTTTTTTCCAGAGTGTGTTTCTGGCTTCTTTGTAAAAAAAATTAGGTGTCCATAGATATGTGGATGTATGTCTGGGTCTTCAATTCGATTCCACTGGTCAACATGTCTTTTTTTGATGCCAATATCATGTTGTTTTTATTCCTACAGCTCTGTAGTACAACTTGAAGTTGGGGGTGGTAAACCTCCAGAAGTTCTTTTATTGTATAGGATTGTTTTAAATACCCTGTTCTGTTGTTGTTGTTTCCATATGAAGCTGAAGATCGTTCTTTCAGGTTTGTGAAGGATGGTGTTGGTATTTTGATGGAGATTGCACTGAATTTGCAGATTACTTTTGGCAAGATGGGCCAGTTTTACTGTATTAATCCTACTGATCCATAAGCATGAGACATCTCTCCATTTTCTGATATCTTTTCAATTTCCTTCTTCAATGATTTGAAGTTTTTATTGTACAAGTCTTTCATTCGCTTGGATACCCCAAGATATTTTACATTATTTGAGGCCATTGTGAAAGGCAGTGTTGTCCTGATTTCTTTCTCAGTCCATTTGTCATTTGTATATAGGAGGGCTACTGATTTTTGTCAGCTAATTTTGTATTCAGCTACTTTGCTGAATAGTGTTTTTTAGCCATAGTCATTTCCTGATGAAATTTATAGGGCCACTTATGTATACTATCATATCATCCACAAATAAAGATACTTTGACTTCTTCTTTTCCATTTGTGTCCCCTTCATCTCCTTCAGTTATCTTATTGCTCTAGCTAAGACATCTGACTTTCAGAGTCTCCATTGGGAAGTCAGGTGTAATTCTCATAGCTCTGCCTTTAGATGTTACTTGGTCTTTCCCCCTTGCAGATTTTAGTATTCTTTCTTTCTTTCTTTCTTTCTTTCTTTCTTTCTTTCTTTCTTTCTTTCTTTCTTTCTTTCTTT